CAAATCATATATTGTCTACCTATGTAAAGGGGAACAAGGAAAATTTTTATATGCTCTATATTGAAATGATTAATATGTATGATTTAGACCACTACTTTGAAAAGAATAAATAATAGATTGATGGTATAGAGTAGTATAAAAGCTGTTTGATAATCTGAAATAAGAGGAGAAATAAAATGTGAGAGGAGAAGATTCACCATCTAACAAGACCCATTGATTCTGTGAGCTTCATTTCTTCATCAACGTCATACCTCCCTCTAGGACCCCCAAATAAGAGTGTCGAGGCTGGCTCCGGACAGGTTACAATACCCTCCATGTGTCATCCATCATTCAAAGGGTATACCCTGCAAGCCTGCCCCCCACTCGTCCACACACAGCCCCTCTCCCTCTCTTGGTCCAAAGTACCCAGCCGCTCCATCTCCCCACGTATTCGTCTCTGCTTTCATCCCTGGCATCACTGTTTCTCTGGATAGGGTTCTGTTCTCTGCTCTTCTCCATTGATGATTCCAGGGACCTCCACTCCTAGACTGTAAAGTTAATCACTCCACTCCCTTTGCAACAAAACATCTACCTTTACATTTCCAGCCCTTACAATCAGTCCTGATAACAATTATTCACTATTGTATCACAAGAGACCTATCTGCAAAAAAAAAAAAAGAGACCTATCTGCATCTCCATTCATCAACCCCAACTAGACAGATTGGATACTACTCATTGGAGGGTCTATCTTGCTCCACGCCCTCTGGATCTAGGTTCCCTCTTGAAAGCATATAAGCCAGTTATTTCTTGCCTTTGTAGCAACCCGCCCCCCTATGCTGAGTAGCTAATGTCCAAGTTGCCCATCCCTGTCCTCTTCATGTGTGGAGGGTGTGAGAATGATCCTGGTTGCAAAGATTTGTTCCCTCTCTTAAACTACTGCTTCCATATGTGTAGGTCAAGTTAATCAAATTATATCAGATTATTCCTTTTTTAACAATAACAACATAGAAGCAGTGAGGGAAAATGACAAAACTTAAGTAGAAATTAATAATTCTCCAGAATAATTATTTTTGTTATGTGGCCCTGTGCCTCCCTGTGTCTTCAGCTTGAAGACAACCTGAACACCTCAGGTCTTGGGTTGTCAGTTTGTGTGTGGACGTTCTAGTGTAACCCTATGGCTGTGAGAGGCTCATGGGAACTGCCATTCTGCAGTGCCTCTGAGTCTTCACCACTTCAATGTCCCTTCACTCTGCTGTTTTGTTGAGTTTCATGATGGGTCTTCTGGAAGGCACAGCTATTTGTCCATAATGAAGTGATGATCTGAATTGGACCATTTCTCTAAATTCTGGCTGTTTTCTAACTGTTCTTAA